GCTCTACTAGCACAACGGCGCTCTGATATGCAGAGTAAGCTCAATGACCTAGCCGAACGCTCCTCTACGGCGGGTCTCATCATCAACGTCAACAAGACCAAATCGTTGGATATCAACACGGGCAACCCTTCCAACTTTACGGTAGCAGAGCAAGCAGTGGAGAAGGTCGAAAGTTTCCAATATCTTGGCAGCCAAATAGCGTCGGACGGCGGGACCAAGAGCGACATAGGTGCACGAATCAAGAAGGCTAGGGCTGCCTTTGCGAGTTTACGAAACGTATGGAGATCCAACCAGATAAGTCAACGCACCAAAATCCGAATTTTCAACTCGAACGTGAAATATGTGTTGTTATATGCAAGCGAGACGTGGTGTGTATCAGCGGAGAACACTCAAAACCTGCAGGTCTTCATCAACCGATGCCTGCGGTATATAATTCGTGCCTGGTGGCCTCACAACTGGATCTCGAATGCCGAGCTCCATCGTCGATGTCATCAGAAGCCGATAGCAACAGAAATTCGAGAGCGAAAGTGGAGGTGGGTCGGCCATACACTTCGACGGGGTGGAAACGAAGTCTGCAAGCAAGCGCTGGATTGGAATCCGACAGGACATCGCAGCAGAGGCAGACCCAGGGGCTCATGGCGGCGGAGCCTCAATAAGGAAATTAAGCAAGTCGATAGGAATCTGACCTGGGCCCATGTCAAGGCAAAAGCGAGCAGCCGCCCAGGATGGAAGTCTTTCACGTTGGCCCTTTGCACCGCTGGTGGTGCACAGGACCCTTAAGTAAGTAAGTCAGAAGAATATTCTGGGATAGATAGAGAAAAAAAATTCCAGGTGAAGTTAAAATTGTTTATGGATCCAGCAGGATTTAAAAAAAATATATTCTTTCTAATAAACCTACTTGGTAATTCCCGAGAAGATAAAAACAGCTGTTTACCGATTCCCAGGTAGCAGAGGGTTAAAAGATTACGTCTAGATGTGCACGACACAAGTATATGCGAAAAATGACAGTAGATTTTTCGTAGATTGATTTGTTAGCATGAAATCTTTTCAGCATCTAGGATTGAAATGTATATGTGCAACACCACTGGAAAAAGGTCGGGAAATGTAAACACTAATTACAATGTCAAATGGCTTTATGATATTATGTCATACGATATTATGCTAAAGCTTTCATCAACCTATGGTACCTGTTCTCTTCGAAAACACCGTCGACGTTCAAAGCCTAAAATTTCAAGCGCGAACGAATTTATACAATTTATAACAATCATTTTTTCACAGATTAAGCGGCGCCGGTGGTGTAGTGGTAAGTGTGATTACCTCTCACCCCAACAGGCCTGGGTTCAATCCCAGTCGGCGCCGCCGGGATGTTCTTGGGCATAACATCTCTGATCACGCCTTCCTTCGGAAGGGAATTAAAGCCGTTGGTCCCCGGTTCATGAGTTGATGGGTCGTTAGGTGAGTCCAGGTGTGTGATCAGCACGGAAAATAAGATCGACGGTAAACAAATCAAAGATTTTTTTTTTCACAGCGCTTCATCCTCTAAAATAAATTGAATTTTCTGTATTATATCCAGTTTTATGCACTAAAGAAGCATATGACTAGTAAGAGCGATATAGAAAATTACGATAAATATTAGTTTTTCTGAAACATTTACAGCATTTCTACTTGCCCCAGATTGGTCCCTATGGGGTAAATTTAAATGAGTACAGAAGGACAAGTTGAAATGGTGAACGTCTCATTCTTTTTTTTATCCCCATAGGATTGCAATGATCGGGGTTGATGAGAAAAAATTTCCAGTTACTACGATGCCGGACGGATTAGTCTATAGTGACCAATTAACCACAGGATTAACGATATTGATTAATCATAATCTTCTTGAAAATCTTTATGTCTCGGTAATCGCTGGTCTGTCTTTGTCTATGTCTTCTTCTCATTCGTACGTCAGTTTTAATGTCTGGATGTTTTCTTGTCTAATGTCATGATGTGTTTGTGTATCAGGGTATGTGTGTGGGTGTGGGTGTGTTTGTGTGTTTGCACCAAATGATTATATTTCTTCCTCATCTCCTAGTTTTAACTGCGTTCAAGAATAATTGACAAAAAAGATTAAAAAAAAATAAAAAAATAAACAAACAAACGAAAAACGTTGTAAAAGTTCATACCATAACATATCTAACTTCCTATCCACATTTGTTGACTAATACTTAAATGTAATTTTTAATTTTATGACGATAAGTTGCTCAAAACAGCAGCCTGTAATTCCGCACCAGAATCTGCCTCCAATTTAATGTCTTACGATATTTTCGAAGGCGAACGCTCCGCAACCTATTATTGCTAGTGATTCTGTCCAATTGTTAGGTATCCAAATTATAGTCATTCGTAAATTTATTATTGAATATATGGATGAATTATCTATTATTGAATAACTATCATTTACGATAATTACATGAAATAAATAAACTACAAAACTACTAAAATCTCAAAAAGATATTCTCACAAATGTATTTCACGCAACCAGGAATCTGAAAACCATTAGACGCTATAATGACACCTTGCACATGCTAGACACAAGAAGAGGCCAAAAGGCAAGCGTCGGACGCACAAAACCCGTCAAATCCACTCGCAGCCACAATCAACGATTCTACGCATCGCGAGCGCTCACGAATCATAAAACCACCGACTGCGACACTCTGAAAGTGCCGGCGCCGGTGGTGTAGTGGTAAGCGTGACTGCTTTTCTCACCCCAATGGGTCTGGGTTCAATCCCAGCCGAGGTCGGTGAGATTTTTCTGAGGCATAAAAATCTCTGGTCACGTCTTCCTTCGGAAGGGAAGTAAAGCCGTTGGTCCCGGCCCATGTGTGTTGAATGGGTGCGATATCCTACGCAGGTGTGGAAAGCTGCCTTCCTGCACTCGATTGCCGTCAATGGATGGCAACCGATGTCCGTCGGTGATTGGCACTAGATTGCGGAACAGAGACCGACGTTAAATAAAGGAAAGACACTCTGAAACCGTGTTTTAGAGATGAACTAGCCTAAGGCTAAAAATCTCTTTAATAAAGCCTTAAAAAAAAACTCCGAAAGCGAAATTGACAGGCTCTATGCGTCAAACACCGGCCCTCCAATAATCTCCTCCCGCATCCAACAAACACAAATCCCCATTACAACATCTAACGAATTCAAAACTCCGAAAATCACTCATCTATAGCAAGTGAGTGGAAGTAACCCTGCATGCAACCTTACCTTAGCATACCTTTCAAAGGTATAATTGATTATTTTACACAAAAACGAGCAAGTAATATTAAATCTTTTGTATCGTATGCTAATGCCAATTGACTGTAACAAAAATAATATGCTAAAATAAAAAAAAATAAAAAATAAAATTATATGCAAAATTTACTAGAAGATCATTACTTTATTGGTGAGAAGTTTCTAATAATCCCTCCCAGTTCCTCTGTATACATAACAAGTCTGATACTATAATCAGAATTGCTCAGTCTGCATGAAGCAGCTGATTTCATCAAGGAAGTTCTATTAACAACCAAGAATTAATCGTTTGAGGCATACGGAAGCATTATGAAGGTGATATGTGTCACTACGGGAAATCATCATCGTTGCAAAATAAAGAGATTAAACATAACCCTTTGCTTCAGTACCGTCAACCTCCATGTCCATGGGAAGGGAAATGGCGAACGTCTCATTCTTAATACAAAAAAAAGAAAAAAGAAAAAAAATACAGCTGGGAAATAACGGTGGGTGACCGAATAAAATCTACAACATGAAAAACAATAGCACCTACTGTTTTAACAATAGAAAAAGGGGTTTGAGTTATATATAATCATGGAAAATCAATGTTTTAAACTCAACAAACATTTTTTTTTTAATTAAAGTCACTTTAACGCTCTTGGGTCATTCGTGACTTGTCCGGGGGTGAGATTTGAACTCGTGACTTTGGCGTGAGAGGTTTGGATGCTAACCAGTACGCCGGGGTCACCCCCCTCAACAAACATTTTAACTTATTAAAAACTGAATAAGCCTGTTTATAGCTGCAGATGCTGTTCTGTAGCTAAAATTGATTGTTGAGAAGCTCCCATGAATTTTAATACTTTTCTATTGTTGAAAATTATGATAACACAGAAATGTATTGTAAACCTACAGACAGTATGTGGTAAACCTATTGTGGAAACGCAATGATCATTTGACCAATTCAATATATTTTATAACAGGGTTAGTTGTCATGTATTGCATTTTATAATTATTTCATTGTCGTTTCATGGTTATTTTGTGGATAAACTTCACTACCCTTCGCGCTCTTTGGAGAATACTTATATTCCCGCCAGGGTTTACGTTCATTCATGTTTTAGGAGGAGATTGATGAAAACTTCCAATTTGATCAAAACTTTATGTGTTTCAACTTACCATACTGTAGGGGTAAGATGAAATAATACATACACACCGTAATCGGGTTCTTTAGGGGTATTGAGGTGAATGCATAATCGTAAACTGTATTAAAAATGGAACCTCAATCAAAAATGTTATCAATTTTGTTGCACTGATTTATTTTAAATAAGTGTGATTACATTAGCAAAAATCGCCATCAAAACGAAGCTCTTTCAGATGATGAAAATAACCGATATATGTATTTTGCCAAATTAAAGAACCCAATTGCATCTTTACAGAAATGTAAGTTTCTGCATTCTTAATTACAATTCAATATATTTTCATGATAGAGGACGCTTTCACAGCAAATTTTAAGCAACAATTTGGTTTATGTTATTTTATTTTATTTACAAAAACCCTCCAAGTTAACCTTTGAAACAAAAACCGTTTCAACTTTCCCCGGTGTTCCTTTATCTCATAGTACTACATCAATAATACTGTCGTGTCTTTTTTACTTGTAAAAACTTCATTCATTCAACAAACCCAATGAGCAATGAATAATACTAATACATATCATTGATTGACGGACGTTATCTCCACTGGAAATGATAAAAAATAACACTCACCTGTAACTGGGTCAGCTGGCATGTTGACTGTGTTGAAACCCCGCTGTTCGAAAATGGGATGCACGATAGAACATGTCCGTTTTATTACCGAACCTGTTCCTGTGCTCTCGGTCTGGAGGACATTTTCACTGCTGTTGCCACCAATGGTACCTCCCGTTGGCGATGGCACACTGCTCGTCATTGCCATTGATTGCCATTGGCCGGAAAGAATCAACAAGTGCAGACATAGAGCGAGAGCTTTGTTTCTGGTTACAAGTGCCATCTTTAAGTGGTTCCAATTTGCACAAATCTCAAGTTGATAACGAACAGTTGTCGACAAACCCAATAGTGTTGTACGCTCTCGATTGTAATTCACCACCGTTTCACAGGAGAAGTATCATTAAAAGCCGGTCATAATTATTGCGACACATACACAAACCGTTTTATGCAACAGTCGTACACGTACAAGACACTCTCTTCAGGATCAATTACAGCAGTATGTAGATACCTTCTTGATTCAATAATGTTCTCTATGACGGGAACATACACAAAATCACCACAGTACGAAGTTGAATGACATTCAGCTGCGACTCTACCACGGTTCGATTTTGAATTTTAACTTTTTCCTCTCGGTTCGATCGAACACTGCAAGGATTTGCAAATTGTTCTGCCGTTTATTTTTATGTTCGTCCCAATCGATATTCGTTTGGAAAAACACAATAAGCTAATTGTATATTTTTGTACCATTCAGAAGCGCGTCACACCAACGGAAAGTAGCCCGAATGTTTACAAATCTATCGCGAAAAACTCAGACATTTTTATCGCATACTTTTATCACTATTTTTTATGTATTCCGATGGCAAACTGGTGATCGTCTTCCTCTCTGAGTAGCGAAATTTTTGACCGAATCCGAATCTCGTGACGAAAAGGTGAACACACTCATACACCGGCACACTCGGCAAACCACGCACACAAACCAGACAGGTTGTGTTTCTCGTTTAGCAAAAATATTGGCAATCTTTTTTACCGAGTCTTGTCTTCTATGGCCAAAAAAAGGGTTTGCTAAAATTTAAATTTTGTTTTATTTTTCGTTCGCATTCAGCCGTGCACGCTTTGCCACTTTCTTTAGGGAAGAGCGATAAATGGCAATACAACACTAATACACACTTATCGAAGAACAACACCAATTTTTACTCAATGAACAATATTCAGTAGCACACCACCATAGGTTCTTGAATCAACCAAAATTTTGCAGACATCGCACAAAGTACTTCTTCATATTATCTTAGAAAGAAACAAGAAATGTTTTTCCATACGCTTCACCAAACATTGAGCACCATCAGAAACAAATTGAAACTTTTTAGGAAGCAGAGAAAATTACAGAACTAAAAAATGCGGAAAGTCTGCTCAAAATGCCGAAACACAACAAATCGAACAAATCCCCAGAACACCACTCTGCACAGAAGCTGAAAACGTACTAAACGAACGAACGAACAAAAACCGAAGACAGAGTCGATGTTGCATCTCGTACTCGACTCGAACCGATCACTGGTTTCTTTCGGGAGGATTTATGCTTATGCTGCTTGAATGCGAATGATGGAATGGAATGCCGTTATTAAGAAAAAGAGAACAAGAACACAGTAAAGAAACTCATTAATGAAATGATGAAAAGCATACGAGAGCGACAGAGATGGCTATCGGGTGATCTGTCATAGGCACCTACTGGAAAAAATATGGCATATAGAACTTTTTGACATTTAATAGGCTTTCACTAGTACACAGTAGAAATAAAGCCCTACAGTAAAAGTATGGACGCCTGTCAAAAGTTGTTCCAATCGAACCGTCAAAATACACCGCTTTGCTCTATAGTCGCTACACAGAAAAACAAAACTACCCACCTCTTGGGTTTTTTAAACTCAAATTTGAGTTATTTGACCTCAGCCCGTTTCATTTTCTCTCGCTATTGTTGTCAAAAATAGAACGAAATATTCGACTCAACCGTCTAGTTCCGTACGAGAAGCCAAAATTGAGTAATATGCGATATACCCAAATTTGAGTTAATTGAACTTAATTTTGGGTAGAAAAAATTGAAAATAACTAAGCGATGGGTAATTTTTTTTGCCGTGCTTAAATGCAAACGACTTTGAGCCGGTTTACCCAAATTTGGCTTATAGAGATTGCTGACGTTTATCGTACGTAAAGATGGTGTTTGTTTGCGTAGGCGAGCCTTGAATCACGAGAAAAGGGGTTCCGAAGATTCGTTCGCAACAGCTGATGTGCTCTTTTCTGTTGTTGGTCGAGATTTGCTCGATTGGTTCCGCTATTTGACAGTTTAATTGGTTCCCGAGATTCTATCCACCAGACTATGAATATAGCGACTATTGAGTTCTCCAGGCAGGATCTCATGAACACTACACTAATAACATAATTTACACACACTACACGCTTAATGCAGTTCACCCATAAATAGGTAGTTGATTCACCCATATTTGGGTTTTTGATACAATACCTACAATATGGGTGAATGATACTGATAAAAATCAGTAGAATTCACTCACATTATGAGTAAAGTAACTTTACCTAAATATGGGTAATTGCACTTTACTCATATTTGGATGAAAACATAAACACTGTCAAAACCGCGTCGCTTCCAGCATTGGTTGTGTATTTCTGCTGCTGCTATCATCCCATATGCGAAACTGTAACCCGGCTCAGAATCACACACATTGGTAAGTATTTTGGAAGATACTTTCCCTTTGTTTTCACAGCCGGAGAAACTGTCTCCATCCGACGAAGATATGGACGAAAAGGAGGAATAAGATGAGGATGAGGACATTGATCTGAGGATCCTTATCGGCCGGCAAAAGTCAGAGCGAAAAGGATGAAATTCTGAATGATGCCACTACCCTTGCCGACAGTATTCAACCGGAACGTAATACCCTCACGACGACTAGCGTTGTGGCGCAAATTCTATTCCTGCTAAAGCTGGATCTATTTAAGTACCAGTACATTGGCCTCGATTGATTGGTGACGAGAATTGCATTTGATTTTAATAAAAGTTGATTTTGTATTTTTATTAATTTGATAAATGTTCAAAAGCATAAATGAAAAAAAATCACCCAAATATGGGTTAAATTCACCCAAAATCAATTTTCCATACATAGGTAAACATTACCCACATTATCCGTAAATTGCATGTACCCAAATATGGGTATGTCGTCTTTACTCTTAAAATGGGTATGTGCACTTTTTCGCGATTATGGGTATTCTTCAACCATATTTGGGGGAACCGAACTAATATAGTAATATTCTCTTTTAATTTTCTAATAGCTGGTGTTCTAGCTGCTATCCAGTCGCGGCTCCAGGAATCCTCGATAATTTTGGTTACCCATTTTTTTAGATCTGGTCCTGGTACCTCTCGCGTATATTTGGCCATGTGCCGACCAGAGGCTGCTAGATGGTCCGCCTCTACATTCCCCCGAACACCACAGTGCCCTGGGATCCAAACGAATGTTGTGTTATTTGGTGCATGTTCCTGGATCGCCTGGATCCAGGGGTGTCTACTCGTTTCGGACTCAAGGGCAGCAACCACACTGGCGGAGTCGGTGAAGATGGCTATCGGTCGTTCATCGGAGGTGGTGGCAGCTATGAAAGCCGCGGCGGTTTCGGCGGAGAATATCGAACACTGGTCTGGCAGTCGATGACATTCGCTGAGATTGGGACCACAGATCCCGATCCCCACCTTCCCCTGAGCGACCGAGCCATCGGTGTATCTGATTGAGTATCCTTCGTATTTTCGTTTTTGAAGGTCTAGGACCGTTTGTGCCACTGCTAAAGGGTTGGAACCTGCTTTAAACATATTTTTGATTGTAGGGTCGGTTCGAATTTTTGGCAGGCTCCAACCCCTGGCTCCACACCAGTGGACCCTGGACACCCGTGGGAGTACTTGGTTGGATGATTCTCTGAGGAGTTGGTTAGCCTCAACGAGGAGGAAACCTTCCTTCCTGCTACCGGACGTGTTTTCACAGTGGCTGATGGCTCGATGGCAGATTGTTTTGGTTATGTACCTGTTGAAGGGGAGCACTCCGCCCTCGATACAGGCAGCTATTCCAGGAGTACCTGGGAGGAGGCCCGATGATAATCGTAAGGCTTGCTGGTAGACAGGTGCAAGTTTTTCCACCAGCAGAGGCATTGCGAGGTAGATTGCTTCAATCCCGTATGTTAGGCGTGAGTTTATGATAGCTTTTGCAACGTTCAGACGAGTCTGCCGGTTGGCATTTGGGTGGCGCCCAGCCAGAGTTTTCAGCAGGTTGATTCGCTGTTTACAACTGCTTTTAACCTCGTTGAAGTGCGGGCCGAATGTGAGGTGACGGTCGAAGCAGACTCCGAGGATTCGAATGGTTTTATGGAATGGGACCGGTTTCCCGTTGATGAGGATCTTGGTGCTCAAGACCTTGTGATTGGTCGAGCATACGTGTGTATAACCGCTTTTGCTTGCGGAGAGCTGAAATCCAGCTGACGAAGCCCAGGTTGATACGTAGGCGGTGGCTTGTATAAGTTTTCTTCGTAATGCTCTGACTGTTGCTCGGACCACCATGAGTACGATATCATCAGCATATCACGGAACCAAATATTCTTCATTTAAGTTAAAAATATATATGTTTATTAAATAAAAATATGAATAGTTCAAAGTAAATTAAAAACATGTTTTCAACAAAAATATGTATGTTTAAATTAAATTCAAAAGCATGTTTATTTCAACAATACATAATCTGGGTAATCAATTTTTAGCGTGTCCTTTTTTCCTTCTTGTTTACATTCGGCAAACTTAACCGAAAACGGCCTGCAAGCGGCGAAACCAAAGTAGAGGGTCCGGAAACCAACGCAAGCAAGTGCTCCAAGCTCGACAAAACCGGTGGAACATCACAATATTAACGTCAATCCGTCGTTTCTGATGCTGATCCCCATATCATCCTCACCCCCACCCGACGTCGAAAGAAAAACAGATCATCCCCGAACACTAAACTTAGAAAGAGGCCGGTATGAGGACCAGCGTCAGAAACGAAAAATGACGCTAATATCACAAAGTTTCACCGGTTTTACTGAACTGGATCTGATCGGACACCCACCCCGACGGCCCCCCGGATCCAAACATCCACAGACTTTCCATAATAGCAGAAATTTCTATTTATTTGCTATCAATTTTATTTTGATTTATTCAGCATTCAAATGCCAAATAATTTCAAAATATGTTTGTTTATTTTAAACATGAAAAGCATGTTTAAAATAAACATATTAATTTTTGATCGCATATAGTTTTCAAATAAATCAAAAATATTCACGTTTATTTTCAACACGAATATTTTTAAAATAAACGTAACATTATTTTTGTTTTAAACATTATTATCAATGAATTCAAACATAGAATACGTTTGAAATCAACCTAGTTTATGTTTGTGGCCAGAACAAACTGAGTTTACGTTTAAATTTACCTCAAATATTTTTGTTTCGACGGTAAATTTTTCTGCGTGATACAAATATAAGGACTCCTTTCGGCAACCGCGAGAAGACACCGTTCATCCTTATGAGAAATAGTGTAACCGCAATCACCGATCCCTGGGGTACCCCGGTTTCCTCGTTGAAGGTCTTGGAGTGGCAATTTCCAAGGGTAACTTGGAAGGTACGGTGTGACAGAAAGTTTCGTATAAATTTCAGAATATGGCCCTTAGGTCCCCATTTCTTGAGCTGTTCTAACACCCCCGGCATCCAAGCACGGTTGTATGCCTTAGATATATCCAGGGTGGCCAGTTCGACGTGGTGATTTTTGGCGAATGCATCCTGAAGTGCTTCACTTAGGGTCCCAAAGTAGGTGTTGGTCCCATGTCCCGGTCTGAAGGCATGTTGTCGGCGATCGAGTAACCTTCCAGTTTCCAGAAAATCCATGAGCCTTCGGTTCACCATCCTTTCCATCAGTTTAGATGCGCAACAGGTCAGCGAGATTGGTCGAAATTTATCGACTCCGTGTCCTGAGGTGTTCGGTTTTGGGATCGGAATGGTGAGGCTGTGCCTCCATTTTTCCGGAAAAGAGTCCTGCAGCCATTCTTGATTGAGCAGTTCCAGGAATTTTACCTGCTCGGCCATGGGAAGGTTTCGAATAAGAGGGTATCCAACTTCGTCAGGTCCAGCGGACCCTCCTCTGGCCTTCGATAAGGCAAGAGAGAACTCGCGCATACTAAATGGCTGGTTGATTGCTGAGTCGTCTTCTTCTGGTATATGCATGTTAACAATTGAGTCAATGGACGGGTTGTTGATCTGGTGGAAATTCTCATCATAACCTTCAATTGATGATAGGGCGGCAAATTGATTGCCTAATACGTCGACGATTTTATCTGGATCTCGTGTGGTTGTCCCTTCGTGTTCGATGATTATGCCCCGTGCCTTCCTCTTTCCGCTGAGGGCATTCACCTTACCCCACAGGTCGACGGTCGTTTGGCTAGGGTTTATTTCGTCGAGAAAGTCTTCCCAGCTGTTTTTTTT